TAGAAAAGGACGAAATAAATTTAATAATAATGTAATATGTAAATAATTTAATAATGAATCTTCGTGTACTACTTAGAGACTTTTCAAATGAAAAATCTAATTTTCCAAAGAAGGCGAATACACGAACGCTACTTTTAAAAAATTTAGATCACACATATTGTATATTCAATATATACAATATAATATGTATTATTCTTCTCAATTATTATAATGCATATAACTGTAATCGGTTTCAAATTATTTTCATCATTTCAACCCCGTTACAAAAGGCCAATAATCTGGATTATTAGAATTTTGTTGTACGTATTAACGCTTGAATGTAAGATTATTTTTGCCGATTAATAAATATTGTATTTGCCACGTGAAGCGAACACCGTTGAGAGCAGTTCAAGATCAGTTTAAAAACAGGTTATGCACACGTGTTTTCATTTTTTGGTTTCCGGTCTCCTAGACCTTTATTTTTTTAGAAAAGTAGAAGACATTTTCAAAGATGAAATGAACGTGATTTCTACCGCCAACGAGACAGCGATGCTTCAACTGGCCGAGTTAAAGCGCATATCTCGTAATGCCACGATCGCAAAACCGAGTCTGTGTAAGTGTTTGTTTACTGTTTATTGCAATCTGAACTCTTTTTATGGCCTTTTTTCTGGTGGAACCACAGTAAAACTTCAAGCTGAACAACTTTCTAAATTGCATTTCGCTTTTTCACAAGCAGGCTGGTTTGAAAAAAATCGATAGGTTTATGCGGAATTCATTTTCGTAGTTAATTCTGGTTAATATGCCGAGAATGTATGAAAATTTACGGTCTGATAATAATCAATATCAGCAGTTTTCCTTTGCTTCGCCTAAATTGTCTGAAATGAACTCTATCCCTGACGATTGTATTTATTTCATTCATTTGTGTATCCACCAACTAAAAAGATAGATATCGCTTGTATTGTTAATTAGACTGCGGATCTTTATGCAAACTAAAAAGGAGCTACATCGACATAATTTTAGCGAGTTGAAAATAATCTAACAGAATTTTTCTAATTGTTTGAGAATAGTCGCCATTGTATAGCCAAAAAATTGTTGAGATAAAATGAAATATGAAATCTCTACTATTTAAGCATAAGAGACGGAAAAGTTTAAATTCAAATATCGCATCATTGTAGAGCTTACGAAATATAATAAATAAAATAGGTACTAATTTTGGTAACAGTAACAA